CCCCCCCCCCCCCCCGCCCATTCCTCTGCTCTCTCTCCAGCTCTGTTCCTCCACCTGCTTTGGCAGCCTTCTTCTGGGGCTCCCCTTGAGAGCTGCCAGCGGGGTGTGACAGGGAAGAAAGGCCAAAGGGAAGGTTAGTGGTTTGGGGGATTGGAGGGTAGGGGGAGATTCTGTGGGTGATGGCAAGATTAGAGAGGTTGGAGAGGTGGGAATGCAAGCCCTTGCTGTGTGTGTGAGTGAGTGCAATTGTGTGTATACAGGGTGTGTACATGTGTGGGTGTGTGCACAATGCCTGTGTTACGGGTCTGTGTAGGTGGCTGTTATGCGTGTGCATGCGTGTATACATCGTGCAGGGATGGGACATGGAGGCCCAGGATCTTGGTGTGTGCTTATCAGGTTTGCTCTCTGCGTGGACATGTGCCTGTGGCCTGTGTTCTGTACATGTTAACAGGATATCCTGTGTTTCTGTCACTCTGCCCCCTTTCCTCTGTGTTTCTGCTCTTTTTTTCACTGTGGCACTGAGGGGCTTTGTAAGCATATGCGTATGTGGCCTCTGTGTACCTCTGACTTAAATGAGTTTGTGCTTCTTAGTACTTGGTTATATGTGTAAGATTATATTACTTCCAAGTATCAAGCAGACCAATTAGCAAATCCATTCTCCTTCTGTTAATTCTTTAGTTCTAAAGCAGAATTTTAGTGGATTTGAAGTTAGAGTTTCTGCCTTTATTACAGGATCTTTTATATGAACATAATGGCTGAACTGCATTCTTTGGCATGAGAATGAGGCAAGCAGACCTGAGAAAAGCAAAGACTTAGGAAGGAAATATCCTGAACCCTTAGATGCACTGTTGAGTGTGTAACAGAAGGGTAGTTAAATGCCTTTGTTCCTTGGTTTTTCTTTATTCTGGTAGCAGCCAGGGACTCCTGTGTTGGAGTCAGGAAAGGGCTGGGGAAGAAGGGGTTGTCCTGAGATAGAGTGGTTGTGGTTGTACTTTTCCTGTGAATGAAGGATGCTTGTGCTTTGGGGGTATGGGGGTACCTTGATGCGGTCAGAATCATGGTTTACTCAAGCATGTGTCTTAGAGGTTAAAGTGGCCTCCCCTGTGTGGGGGCCCTTTGTGGTGTCTGGGTTAAATGTCCTTTTCTGTAATGTGCTGCCCACATGACTGCCCAAGGGACTTGGGCCCCAGATCCACACCAGCAGCTCTCATGAGTGTCAGGGTCGAGTATGCACTCCCCTGCTGCAGTGCTCACATATGTCTAAGCATGTGTCCAGCGGGGTATGTGGGCCCCAGGGCCTCAGGATGCAGACCTGTGGCACCCCCAACTCACCATTCTCTGCATGTCTCCTAAGCACCTGGGTTCCTCTTTTATCGTCCGTGCTGTGGTTATCATGTATATATGTCCCCTCCCCACACAGCTCCGTGTATGTTTCTGTGCTCTACACATGTGTTGCTGAGGGACTGACAAGGGTTTCCATGTCATGGGATCCACATTTTTGTGTGTAGATCTCCTAACACCCGGGTTTTAGAGGCATAGGGAAGCTGGGCAATTTGCAGGCGATTTGCAGTTCAGGAAGCTGACAGTGAAGCTGTGGCTGTGGCCCTCCTTGTTCTGGACACTAGAGGGTTAACAGGCGGCTCTTCCGGTCCCCCCCACCAGCCTGTAGCTTCTTGTTGCTGTGGAGATGGTAGCCCCGCCCCTGATGCAGCACCTGCCCCCCCATTGGCTGCAGTGGTGACTGTGGGGCTGAGGGGGGAGCCCAGGCCTGGGCAGCCATTCTGGAGCTGGAGCCCGAGCTTGGCATCCCCCCACTTTCATTCTCCTCTAGCTCCTCAGCCCCTCTCAATTCCCTGGCAGCAGAGCCTCAGCTTCCCTCCTCCGAGCTGCCACCCCTCCAGACTCAGAGCCATCCAAGCTTCCTCCGCGTTCACCTCCCCTCCTCCTCGCCCTGCCCTCTCTTGGGAGTCCCCCGAGTGCCCACTGCCCATTCTCCCTGCTCCCCTGCGTTCTTCCCCTTCCCCTTCCCCCTTCCCTTCTGACTCCCTGCCTCTGCAGTGCACGTGGAGCGGGCCCCTTCTCCCCTCCCCCTGCCCTTTGCTGTCCCCAGGCTTCTTCCGCTTCCACTCCGCACAGGTCCCTTCCAGGACCTCCCCCTCCAGGCCAGGGAGGGGGTCATGGGAGGCAGTCCTGGCCCTCCAGACAGAGTGGGGTCAGGGGGGAAGATGTGCCCAGCTGAAAGAGGAGGAAAGCCTGCCTCCGGCCCATGACCTTTAACCCAACTCCCCCCCGCCGCCCCGCCCCACCAGCTGACCCCTTCCTGGGGGTGTGGGCACCAAGAACCTAGGATCCGTGGCTCTTTGGTGTCCTTTATTCCTGGAGTTTTATTGACGCTCTCAGCCATGCCCCTTTGCTGACTGCCAGCCCCAACCCCAGTCATGGGCCTGAGGCCCCCCACCCCGTCCCCCTCTGGGGGCTCTGGCTCAGGTTCCTTGCCCCCTCCTTCCCGCCGCCAGCCTCTCAGCCGCCGCTGCTCTTCCTGCTGCTTCCCGGGGGGTAGGTGAGGCTGGAGCTGAGGGGCCGAGGGAGGGGGCAGATGTGCTGGGGCCAGGGTGGACCCGGGGCTACGGTGACCCCCTCCCACGTCCCTGCCGGCCCTCTCCTCCCCTCCAGAATACCACTTGGGTCGCTCGAGGAGGAAGAGTGTCCCAGGGGGGAAGCAGTACAGCATGGAGGCCGCCCCCGCCGCACCCTTCCGGCCCTCGGTGAGTGAAGGCCCTGCCAGATGTTGGTCAGCTGGTCCCCTCCTTGCCAGTCCCAGCTGGAGCCCCTGGATTGTGAGAAAGGGGGCAGGAGAGAGAGAGTCTGTGCGTGTGTCCCCCCACCACTTTGGTTTTCCCCTTCCTAGCTCTGCCCCCCCTGCTTCTCAGACCAGCCCTCCCACCTTCTCTAGGCTGGTGTGTGTGTGTGTTTGTGTGTGCACTCGCACCCGTGGGAGCACAGGAAGACAAACTGTAGCAGGGCTCCTGTCCCCTTTTTCTCACCCTGGAGACTTCCCTTTCCCCCCATCCTGGCTTCATCCAGAGGTTCCTTACCAGCTGAGCAGTGAGCAGGTGGAACCGACGCTACCCCAACCCACCCCATCCCCATTTCCCCCCACCCAGCAAGGCTTCCTGAGCCGGAGGCTTAAAAGCTCCATCAAACGCACAAAGTCACAACCCAAACTTGACCGGACCAGCAGCTTCCGCCAGATCCTGCCTCGCTTCCGAAGTGCTGACCATGACCGGTATGGGGTCTGAAGACCAGGGTGGGATGATTTGGATGCAGAGTAGGGGGCTCTGGAGTGCCCACTGCCCATTCTTTGGGGTCTATCAGAGTGCAGAGCTTGATGGCCTCTGATAGCAGCAGGAGGTGGGGAGTGGGGGGAGGACGAGGAGCAAGGAGCTGGGCAGGAAAGGGGATGAAGGTGAAGCCAAGGAGGGCCTCTTCTGGCCGGGAAGGATGGGCTCCAGGCTGGGGTGGACAGAGCTGCCCCGAAGGACAGAGATGGAGTGACAGCCGGGGAGAGGATGGGGAGGAGGCGGTGGGCGGGAGGGACCGGTGTGATCCGGGTGCAGGGTCCCAGGGAGGGGGGGCGGGGCGGGGTGGGGCGGCAGGTGCTCGGGGAGCATGCGGAGGAGGGCAGGCAGCACAGGTGTGCGGGTCCACAGCGGGGGAGGGCAGGCTGGAGGGTTCATGATGGACTGGGCCTGAGGAGGAAGGCCGAAGACAGTCCAGAGGGCACCGTCTCCAGGGCTGGGCTGGAAGGAACCTCGCTTGCTCCTGGGGTCTGCTTCTTGGGGTCCCTCTTTGGGTTTCCCCCTCCCCCGGGGCTCCTCCCAGGGAGAAACCTGTCCTTCCTTCCCCCTGTCTGGCCACCCCAGGGCAGGGCAGGTAGGGAGTTGGGCTAGGTGAGTCACACCTTCCCCTCCCCCTCTGTGTCCCTGGAGCTGGATCTGGGGCCGGCAGGGGGTGAGGGCCTGGTATTCCTGGCCGCGGGGGCGGGGGGCCGGGGGAGCGTCGCGCTGACGGCAGTGGAGCCCAGGATGACGGGGCTGCTATAAATAGCTCCAGGAGGCTCCCACACCCGGCTCCCCCTCCCTTCCCGCGGCTCTCCACTCCTCATCCCTCGCTGGCTCCCGTGGCCCTCTGCTCTTCTGAGGGGTGCTCCCAAGTTCACCCCTGCTTGCCCTCTGTGCTCTCAGCCAGCCTCCAGGGCCCCTCCTCACCTTCTACCACCCTGTCTCTCTGCTCTTACCTTTCCCTCTTCCTCTTTTCCTTTCCCTATCTCTTCCTCCCTAGTCCTCCTTTCCAGACCCATGCTCCTGTTCTGTTTTCTGCCCACAGCCTTCTCGTATTTCTTACTATTTTCCCTCACTCGTTCCCTCAATTTTGCTAAAGTGTGTTCTCTTACCTCGTTCATTCTTAGATTTATTAAATGCTTTTTAGGTAGTACCTATGTGGCAGGCCCAGACCAACATCTTTGTACTTTTAATTCTTGACTCCCAAGAATCAAGACTCCCACAGCTGTGTTTTTTTTAGGGGGATTGATCATCTAGAAGTCCCATCTAGGACTGTCCAAAGCCCACCTGTTTCCTTTTTTCCCTGCCATGGGTCATTTCTGGCTTGAGGTATTTCTAGGTGTCCCCAGTATTCAAAACCCCTTACGTTTTGACTGAGGGGAAGGGCTTTCTCTCACACCCCTTATGTCCTTCCCTGGTATAGGCTGGGTTTCTCTCTGTCTGTGTTCGTGTGGGAAGTGGGTGTAGAAGCGCTTTCCCCAGGTCTCTGTCCATCACAGAGCCCGCTTGGTGATGCAGCCCTCTGGGTTTGTAAGCAGGCTGGGTCCTGATCCCCCCTCCTGGACCACCCCCCCCCACCCTGACCCAGGGCCCGGCTGATGCAGAGCTTTAAGGAGTCGCACTCTCACGAGTCCCTGCTGAGTCCTAGTAGCGCGGCCGAGGCCTTGGAGCTCAACTTGGATGAAGACTCCATTATCAAGCCAGTGCACAGCTCCATCCTGGGCCAGGAGTTCTGTTTTGAGGTACTGGATGTGTGGGGCTAGGGCGGGCCCAAAGGTGGGGGTCCAGGCGGGGCAGGCAGAGAGGCTTGGAGAAGGTGGCAGAAGTGGGATGTCAGGGAAACAGAAGCCTCTGGGGCTGGGAGGAAGGAGGAATGGGCTGGGAGGAAGGAGGAATAGGCCAGGAGGAAGAGATGGTAGGGTGATCCCAGCCCTAGGGAGTCCTCTCCCTTCTAGAGCCCCCTCTGACCATGCACCCCTGTTCAGGTAACGACATCATCAGGAACAAAATGCTTTGCCTGTCGTTCTGCCGCTGAAAGGGACAAATGGATCGAGAACCTGCAGCGGGCGGTGAAACCCAACAAGGTACTGCGCGTCTGGGGGCTCCAGACAGCACGGGCGGGCCGGTGTCCAGGGGGCCGGGGGCAGGGGCGGCATGGGGCGGGGGGCAGGTGGAGGAGTAGGAGGAGACCCCCTGTTTCTTTTTGTTTTCTTCTGCCGTATGATGTTTCCTTTCCATAGAAATCATAGACTTAGAGCTGACAGGGCTCTGGAATTTCCTCCAGTGCCTCTTCCCCGCAAGCAGGGATGTCCCCCTAATACCCTGACAGGTGGGCACCCAGCCCCCGCTGTCAGTGTTTCCGTAGGACACTTAGATTGGTCAGTAGCTGAATCTCGAGACCATGGTTTCTTCTCTGTACAACTGGTAGGAATGGGGTTGAAGTAGAATATCTCTAAGGTCCCTCTGGCCCAAAAATTCTGTGAGTCTGTGTTCTTCCCAAGAGAAATGCTCCCAGTTCTGTCTGCTGTTCTCTGTGTCCCAGCTTCCAGTGAGCTCCTCTGGGGAGACCCTTGTTTGTCAATGTCCTTCTTAAAAACTAGACCCAAGATGCTGCAATATTCCCCCTGCAGACTCCGGATACCAGGCTCTTTTCACACTGAAACCTCACTGGTCATTGTCAGCCTCCAGGCCCTTTTTGCATTAACTGTAGATTCTCACCTTTTGCATTTATGCCTTTTTTTTTTTCCAATTAACTTCTGATTGTCTTTGAAAAACTCCTCAGTTTTCCTGTTCAAATTCCACCTTAATATTTTGGGTTTATTATTATAACTTTTAAAATCTTTTCCCAATACAAATTCTATCAACTGATGTATGAGCTCAGTCTATATCAATTTTGTCTGGCTGCTGTAACAAACTACCACTAACTAGACTACTTAAAATAACAGAAACTTATTTTCTGGTAGTCAGGAGACTGGAAGTCAAAAATCAAGGTGTCGGCAGGGCCTTGCTCCTCTGGAAGCTCTAGGAAGAATCCTCCCCTTCCCCTTCATGCTGTCTGGGGGTTGCCAGCAGTCTTCAACATCCCTTAACTTATAGCTCCATCTGCAAAATTTTTACTTCCATCTTCATGGGCTCATCTCCTTTCCATGTGTGTCTGGTCTCAAAAGTTCCCTCTCCACATAGACCCCAGTCATGGGATTTAGGGTCCACCCTAATCCAGTATTAGCTACATGTCAATGTGATTTTATCTGCAAGGACTGTATTTCCAAAATAGGTCACATTCCCAGGTTCCGAGTAGACCGAATCTGAGGGGAACAGGGTTCCGTTCCACACACACCTTCTCAACCCTGTGATCGCTGGTCTCAGAGACTGGGTTTTTGACTGTCTGTCTTCTTTTGGTGTCTCTGGCTCTCTGGCCCTTCCCCTTCACCCACCCTACCCTGCCAGGACAACAGCCGCCGGGTGGACAACGTATTGAAACTGTGGATCATAGAGGCCCGGGAGCTGCCCCCCAAGAAGCGGTACTACTGTGAGCTCTGCCTGGATGACATGCTGTATGCACGCACCACCTCTAAGCCCCGCTCGGCCTCGGGGGACACCGTTTTCTGGGGTGAGCACTTCGAGTTCAACAACCTGCCGGCCGTCCGGGCATTGCGGCTGCACCTGTACCGTGATTCAGACAAAAAGCGCAAGAAGGACAAGGCAGGCTATGTCGGCCTGGTGACTGTGCCTGTGGCCACCCTGGCCGGGCGCCACTTCACAGAGCAGTGGTACCCTGTGACCTTGCCGACGGGCAGCGGGGGCTCTGGGGGTATGGGGGGCTCGGGTGGGGGAGGGGGCTCTGGGGGCGGCTCAGGGGGCAAGGGCAAAGGAGGTTGCCCAGCGGTGCGGCTGAAAGCACGTTACCAAACGATGAGCATCCTGCCCATGGAGCTATATAAGGAGTTCGCCGAGTATGTCACCAACCATTATCGGATGCTCTGTGCGGTGTTAGAGCCCGCCCTGAACGTCAAGGGCAAGGAGGAGGTCGCCAGTGCCCTGGTTCACATCCTGCAGAGCACGGGCAAGGCCAAGGTGAGTGCTGGGCCCTCAGGACGAGGCGGCCTGGGCATGGGTACTCGCTGGTGGGGACAGTAAGGGTATGTGTGTCTTCGTGAGCTTGGGGTGAACAGAGGCTGACCCCTGGCTCTTCCTGGGCTCCAGGACTTCCTTTCAGACATGGCCATGTCTGAGGTGGACCGCTTCATGGAACGAGAACACCTCATATTCCGCGAGAACACGCTCGCCACTAAAGCCATAGAAGAGTACATGAGACTGATTGGTCAGAAATACCTCAAGGATGCCATCGGTACGGCCCCCCTGCAGGCCTTCTCCCCAAACCTACAGACACCCGGCCCAGCCCTAAACACAGCTCCTGCAGACCCCAAGTCCACCTTGCCTCAGCTCCATGCTTTCAGACCCAGAGTCCCCAGCCTCCAGCCTGATTCTGAGATTCCCCAAACCCCGGTTGTCCCTGCCCTTTGAAAGTGTGACTGACCCTCACTGTGCCTCCAACCCCACAGGGGAATTCATCCGTGCTCTGTATGAATCTGAGGAAAACTGTGAGGTGGACCCCATCAAGTGCACGGCATCCAGTTTGGCTGAGCACCAGGCCAACCTGCGGATGTGCTGTGAGTTGGCCCTGTGCAAGGTGGTCAACTCCCATTGGTGAGACTGGGAACGCTGGGTTGGGAGGCCAGGGTTGGGGGAGTCGTGTGTTCATCTGTTCATCCATCTGTCCATCTTCAGAGAGACCCAAGAACCAGTTGTAGGCAAAGTGTTGTGCTCAGTGCTATAGAGCAGACAGAGAGCTGTGAGACTTGGCCTCTGCCCTCAGAGGACCTGCACCAGAGGGGTGGGGATATTAAATAGGCAGAAAGCCAAGGAACAGCGTAGTATGTGTTAAGTTCCAAGGAAGGGACCCTCCATCCCAGCTCTACACATAAGATCAGAGAAGGCAGAGCTTGGAGATGAGCAGAGAAGCCTTCATGGGAGAGGTGCTCCTGGACTGGGCTTAGAAGATTGGGCCAGGTTCTGATCTATAGAACATGGTGGGTTGAGAAGCTGCCTCTGGAGAAGGTTGTGGAGCAGACCCATGTGTGAGGGCGAGAGGTCCTGGGACAGCAGGCAGAAGTGGTTTAGTGGAGCATGTGGCTCACCTCGGGAGAATGGTGGGCCACGTGGCCGGACAGGGTGCAGAGAGTTAGCGTGTGAAGGCCTCACTGCCCGGTAAGGGAGCCTGAGTTCTCAGTAGGTCAGGGGACGCCTGTGATGGTGTGGGCGCCGTGCAGTATCGTGACCTTGAAGGTTAGTCCTTCTGTAGAGGTGGGTGCAGAGGCGGCTGGATAGGGAGATGAAGTCCTGGCTAGTTGGGGGCTGTTGTTAATGTGTTAGGCATGGAAATCAGATCCTGAGTCAGGATTTGGCAGGAAAAATAGAAAGGGGCCGCTGTAAGGACCCTCTGTAGAGAGGATCAGTGGGCATCCTCAGCTAATTGGAAAGGAAGGGCCGTGTCTCTGGGGGTCCTGAGGCTGTGAGGCTGGTGGCTGGGCGACCAGTGGCCTCACTGACAGAACCAGGGAGTCAAGAGCGGGGGACTCAGTGGAGGTTGGAGGTGTGGGGGTGACGCTCAGCTCTGCTTTCCACGGTTCGAAGTTTAAGGTGTCAATGGGACATTGCAGAGGAGGACCTGGGAGGTGGGGGGAGTGAACTCAGCTGTTCCAGGGACTGGGACCATGCCTGGGGTGCCTCCATCCCCATTCCCCTGGAATCCAGAAGAGTTGGGGGGTCCGAGCTCCCTGTACCTCAAGTGACCCTCCATCTCTCTCCCATCTCTGTCTCTCCTGGTGTCTGTTTCTCTTCTCCTGCTCTCCTCGTCTCTCTGGCACACGCGCTGTCTCTCTCCCTTGTGTTCCTGTCCCCCACCTCCTCTCCCTCCGGTCCTCTCTCCGCCGTCTGTCCCCTGCCGCAGCCCTCTTCCTCCTCAGCCCCCCATTTTCCTCTTGCGTGCCCTCCCTCACTCCCTGTCACTTTCACCTCTGTCTCTGCACCCTCACCTCCTACCACCCCCCTCAGCATGTTCCCTGGAAGCTGAGGGTCTCTGGGGCTCAGTCCCGGTCTCTCTCTCTCTCTCTCTTTCTCTCTGTCTCCCCGCCCCTCCCCGCCAGCGTGTTCCCGAGGGAGCTGAAGGAGGTGTTTGCATCCTGGCGACTGCGCTGTGCAGAGCGGGGCCGGGAGGACATCGCGGACCGGCTGATCAGCGCCTCGCTCTTTCTGCGCTTCCTCTGCCCGGCCATCATGTCGCCCAGCCTCTTCGGGCTCATGCAGGAGTACCCAGATGAGCAAACCTCGAGAACCCTCACGCTCATCGCCAAGGTCATCCAGAACCTGGCCAACTTTTCCAAGTGAGGGAAGCCTCAGGCCGGGGGTTGGGTGGGGCTGGCAGGAAGGGTCTCCTGAGTCCCTAGAGTCAGGCGTGGGTTGGGGCCTTCTGAGTGTGACCTGTGCCTTCTGGATGCTTTGGCCAGGTTTACCTCAAAGGAGGACTTTCTGGGCTTCATGAACGAGTTTCTGGAGCTGGAGTGGGGTTCCATGCAGCAGTTCCTGTACGAGATCTCCAACCTGGACACGCTGACCAACAGCAGTAGCTTTGAGGGTTACATCGACCTGGGCCGAGAGCTCTCCACGCTGCACGCCCTGCTGTGGGAGGTGCTGCCCCAGCTCAGCAAGGTCAGCACGGGCCCCTTGGCTGGTCTTTAGGTCTCCAGAGGCTCCTGTGGCCCAGAGACCATCCCCTGAGCAGATTCTGCCACCCTTCTGATCACGTCACTGCCACTTTCTGGGCTCAGACACCTTTTCCCTTCTGAACTCTGAGGCCCCCGGGTAACAGCCCCCAGGTAAAGCTGGGCTCTTAGCCCCCAGGTAACAGCCTTCTCCTTCCAGGAAGCCCTCCTGAAGCTGGGCCCACTGCCCCGGCTCCTCAACGACATCAGCACGGCTCTGAGGAACCCCAACATCCAAAGGCAGCCGAGTCGTCAGAGCGAGCGGCCCCGGCCTCAGCCCATGGTGCTGCGGGGCCCTTCGGCTGAGATGCAGGGCTACATGATGCGGGACCTCAACAGGTGAGCCCCGGGAGCCCCCGGCTGTGCCCTAGGAGCCCGCACATCTGTCCCGGATACACTCCTGGGTCCGTGAGCCTCTCTCAAGGACTTCAAAGAAAGGAAAGAGAAGTGTTTTTTTAGAGAAAACTGTAAGGAGACAGGTCCAGTCAGTGGTTAGGCTGAGAGCCTTTAAAAGTCAGAGGAAGCAAGCAACGCAGAGTGCCCCCCTGCCAAAAACATCCCTTCAACTCCATGTGCTGTGAGCCTGGGGTCCTTCGGCCTGCCCAGGCCTGCCACAGGCGGGAGCTCAGCCAGTACGCTGGGACCAGCCAGCCACCTGTGTCAGGACGTTCAGATGGCTCTGTCCTAGTCCCCGCCGGGACCCCCCCGAGCCCGCCCCCCCCGCCCCCCCCCCCCCCCCGCAGGGCCTCCCCTGCGCCGCCAGGCACTGCCCACCCTGCCCCTCTTCTCCATGACACCATTCCCATCCGCCACCCCGCCCGCCTCCACACGTCCGACCTCCGCCCCTCTCTCCTTCTCTGCCTGTGCTCGCCCCTCTTGCATCTCTCTCCAGCTCCATCGACCTTCAGTCCTTCATGGCTCGAGGCCTCAACAGGTGAGGGGCTCTGCGCTCCCCCGCCCTCTTCTCTCTGCTGTCTGCCGCCCGCTCCCAGCCTTCTCCATGCACCCTCATTTCCCCCACGTCTGCCCAGACCTGCCCTCACCCCTCCTCCTGCTGCCCCATCTGCCCCCCGCTGCCCGGAGGCCCGTCCCGTCCTGTTTCTCTCGCACCCTTCGCACCCCGCCACTGCCGTCTCTCCCTGCCCTGTGGCCCCCTCTTCACCCCAGGCCTTTGCTGATCACAGAGGCTCACCTGCCGGTGGCCCGCTCTGACCTCCCACTCGTGTGCCCCCTTCCCTTCCTGCAGCTCTATGGACATGGCTCGCCTCCCCTCCCCAACCAAGGAGAAGCCCCCGCCACCACCGCCTGGTGGGGGGAAAGACCTGTTCTATGTCAGCCGCCCACCCCTGGCCCGGTCCTCCCCCGCCTACTGCACCAGCAGCTCGGACATCACAGAGCCGGAGCAGAAGATGCTGAGTGTCAACAAGAGTGTCTCCATGCTGGACCTGCAGGGCGATGGGCCTGGCGGCCGCCTCAACAGCAGCAGCGTGTCCAACCTGGCGGCTGTCGGGGATCTGCTGCACTCGAGCCAGGCCTCCCTGACTGCAGCCTTGGGGCTGCGGCCTGCACCTGCTGGCCGCCTCTCCCAGGGGAGCGGCTCGTCCATCACGGCGGCTGGCATGCGCCTTAGCCAGATGGGCGTCACCACAGACGGTGTCCCTGCCCAGCAACTGCGCATCCCCCTCTCCTTCCAGAATCCTCTCTTCCACATGGCCGCTGATGGGCCAGGGCCCCCAGGGGGCCACGCAGCGGGCAGCGGCCATGGCCCACCCTCTTCCCATCACCACCACCACCACCACCACCACCACCGAGGCGGAGAGCCCCCAGGGGACACCTTCGCCCCATTCCACGGCTACAGCAAGAGCGAGGACCTCTCCTCAGGGGTCCCTAAGCCCCCTGCTGCTTCCATCCTTCACAGCCACAGCTACAGCGATGAGTTTGGACCCTCTGGCACCGACTTCACCCGTCGGCAGCTCTCACTCCAGGACAACCTGCAGCACATGCTGTCCCCTCCCCAGATCACCATTGGTCCCCAGAGGCCTGTCCCCTCAGGGCCTGCAGGCGGGAGCGGCGGTGGGGGCAGTGGCGGGGGCGGCGGGGGTCAGCCGCCCCCATTGCAGAGGGGCAAGTCTCAGCAGTTGACAGTCAGCGCTGCCCAGAAACCTCGGCCGTCCAGCGGGAATCTGCTGCAGTCGCCGGAGCCGAGTTATGGCCCTGCCCGTCCACGGCAGCAGAGCCTCAGCAAGGAGGGCAGCATCGGGGGCAGCGGGGGCAGCGGTGGCGGCGGCGGGGGCGGGGGGCTCAAGCCCTCCATTACCAAGCAGGTAGGACGGGTGGGAGGGCTGGAGGGGCGGCGAGCGGGAGGGGAAAAGGAGACAGGTGGAGGGGAGCAGAACAGTCTGTGGTCTGAAGTCACACTTTTCTCATCTCCTTTCATTCATTAAAGTGCACAGAGGGCCTACTTTGCTCCACGTGCTGTTGTGGGCACTGTGTGCTTGTCAGTTAACAGACAGGCCTTCCTTCCCTCTTGGGGCTCCCAGGGGAAATGTGATGAGAACAGCATTCATGAGGGGATCGGTGGGGGGACTCCCGTCTCCTTAGGCCATTTTCCCTGCCTCTGAAGGCGCCTGCCTTCTTCACCTTCCCTCTCCCCTCCTGCCCCAGCATTCCCAGACGCCATCCACGCTGAACCCCACAATGCCGGCCTCTGAGCGGACGGTGGCCTGGGTCTCCAACATGCCTCACTTGTCGGCTGACATTGAGAGCGCCCACATCGAGCGGGAAGAGTACAAACTCAAGGAGTACTCCAAGTCTATGGACGAGAGCCGGCTGGACAGGGTACGAGGGGCCCTCCCCGCCCTGAGCCCTGTCATTACCTTTACCCACAAGGCAGGCTTCTAGTCCCTTCCAAGGGCAACACCTGGGGCCAAGTAGTTATGAGAAGAAAGGACAAAGACCCGATCCCTTCTGAGAAGCCCTCAGTCTCTCAGGGGAGGCCAGATACAATCAGTCCACTGAAAAGCCCCTTTCAGCTCTGTTTTGTGGGTTCCACATATGGTAGATTGTTGGGGGAAGCATGCTCTGTATTAGACTGCCTCCGTGTTCCTCCGCAGGGAGAGCATAAGCCCTGGCTCCTGTGGCTTCTCAGGAGGAAAGTTACTGCACTAGCAGTGGGAGCTGATCCATTGGGCGAGGGCAGGGCAATTATACCACGAGCCACACATGGCTTCCCCAGTCACTGTCCCACAGGCACCGGTGACAGAGGGGTAGTGGTCACAGGTCTTGTGTGCGAAAATGGGGTGTATTGGCGCACGTGGGGAAGACCATCCAGACTTTGAGCTGCTGGTGGCCCCCAGCAAAAGTCAGCCGAAGCTCTGGCCCTTACTCACTTAGCAGAAAGCTGCTTGGGAGCCATTGCTACAAGGACCCTGAAGAAGAGGGTGACTGCAGGGTTAGATTATACATACAGGATACATAATTCCAACTGGGGGAGCAGAGAGGTTTTTGGGGAGAAGTAGTCTCTGAGCAAAGAAAAATGTTGGGATTGATGTAGATAGACTTGAGCTAAGAGAATATCTTTAGACCTTATTATAAATTATTTCCAGCACCATTTAACAAACCAAGGACAAAATGCCTCCCACCTGTGTCCATGAGTCTGTCTAGGCTCCTGTGTGGGGTGTCCTGTGTCCAGGTGCAGACGTGAGGGCATGTGTATACCTCTAGGTTGAGGGAGTCCATGGTCTTGTCACATCTTGAGGGAGCCTCAGCCCCATGGGAGGGGTTTCTTAAAAGTTTGTGTGTGTGTGTGAGAGAGAGAGAGGGAGATCAAGAGGCCAGGGAAAGGCTGGAGGAAACTGGTGAGGATGCCTCAGTGCATGGTGTTGTGCTTAGCAGGCAGGGCAGAGGCTGGGTGGATGGTCAGGCCCAGCCCCCCTCACAGTGCGGGGTCGTGTGCCCGGCGGGCAGGTGAAGGAGTATGAGGAGGAGATCCACTCACTGAAGGAGCGGCTGCACATGTCCAACCGGAAGCTGGAGGAGTATGAGCGGAGATTGCTGTCCCAGGAAGAGCAGACCAGCAAAATCCTGATGCAGTATCAGGCCCGGCTGGAGCAGAGTGAGAAGAGGCTACGGCAGCAGCAGGTGGAGAAGGACTCCCAGATCAAGAGCATCATCGGCAGGTGAGGAGCGGCCCGGGCAGGGCTGGTGAGGAAGAGCCTGAGGCTGAAGAGGGTCAGTGAGCGCCCCCCCCAGCTCAGGACACCCGGAGGAGAGCCCACCACCCTCCCAGGGATGCCACCTCCTCCACTGTCACCAAATGGAGAGACGCCTCGCGCTTAGCGCATTAAATGTAAACCTTGACCTCTTTCCTAGTAATGTCTGAAGCCCTCAGAAATGCACCTGTTACTGTCCAGCCATATCTGTGTGTCTGGACTGGCCTAGGCTGGGGCTCCCCACTGGTTATTCTCAGGCCAGCCTATGATGCTCACCCCAAATCTAAGCAGGGGTCCCTTAGCCACAGTAGCCCTGATCTTCCCATCCTGGGCCGCCCTCCTCTGCAGCTGTGGAAAGGTGTTCCATCAGAAAGTGAATGATGTGCATTCTACTTTGTGCTCTGCCAAGCCCTGAACTCCAAAGGAAGTGTCTCAACAAGGGGGTCAGTTAGCTTGAGAGCTGGATAGGACCCCACACCCCACTCCAACCAGAGCCAGCTCCATTTCCATCCATTCTCAGTGTATTTTTGAGTAAGATTAATTAGAAAAGCTTGACTTGAAACTTTTGAAAACCACTGCTGTGATATCCTTTATGAGAAATCACCTTGAGAACCTTCTATGAGGGTAGAGAGAAGCTGGGAATGATGATTATAGAGACCCCTCTTGGGCCAGGAGTGTCCAGGGGCTGCCGTGAGACAGTCTCAGTTCCGTGAGGTGGTGTAGGGGATGGAGAAGCCAGATCTTCAGCTGCAGTGTCTGCGGAAGGGCCTGCTCATGGATAGAGTGTTGAGTGCTGTGTGCCTAGTGGGTGGGGCCCCTGGGGCACAGAGACCTGTCCTTAGCAGGGAGATGCAAGCATTCCTGAAAGCGGGTGAATGACGGGCAGTCTCTGGGAGCCATGAGGTCGGAGCAATGGAGGGATTCTGAGTGCGAGCGAGAAAAGTGCTGAAGCTTCTTGAGAGAGTGGCAGGGTTCCCAGGGTCGGGATCTCCCCGGGCAGGCTCCCCGCCCGTGCCCGCCACTAACCCCACTGAAGCCCGTCCCTTCAGGCTGATGCTGGTGGAGGAGGAGCTGCGCCGGGACCACCCCACCATGGCTGAGCCGCTGCCTGAACCCAAGAAGAGGCTGCTCGACGCTCAGGTGGAAATTACAATGTCATTTATCTTCTCTGTGTCCCATCCCCATCCATCCCACTGTCCTTCGTGCGGTCACTGCGCCAGCCACCCCAGCCCCATTGCCGCCGTCTCTCCCGTCGTCCTCCGTCCGGAGGCCACTCCCGGCCGTCCCCCGCGACCCCATCTTCATCCAGTCGTCTGTGCCTTCGTCACTCCCAGCAGTGTCAGCCTCCACTCCCCTCCCCACTCCCCATGCCTCCCCACCCTGCCTCCCCTGCTCGGCCGCATTTCAGGACCTCCAGCCAGAACCTCAGCCTCTCTGCTCCCAGACCCGAGTCTTGGCCCCAGGCTGGCGGCCCCAGACCGAGCGCCTCTCAGGCCAGGGGGCCAGAGGCAGTGCTTCACCAGCACAGAGCCCCGGGCAGGTGCCCAGCGGGTGTCCTGGGGCCATGGGGTGCTCGTCATCACTGCTTCCTGGGCCCCTCAAGTTCTCCTTGTTTTCTGATGGCTTGCCAGGCCTCTTCCCAGCTTCTGGGATCCTGAAGCCCACCCCCCACCACCCGGCCCCACACTCTGAGCACCCTCTCCTGCCAGTGTTTAAAGCCCAGCCCACCTTCTTCAGCCCTGTTCCCCCTCTGGTCCTCACACCTGCCTGACTGCCCCAGCTCCTAGCCGGCCGCCCTCTCTCTCCAGCCAGCTTTTAGGACTTCCCTCCCTCCCCCAACCCCTTGTTTCCCTCCCCCCAGTTCGGCTCACTTGCCCACCCATGCTTTTCTCTCCTCTGCTCTGACCTCCAGGCTCCCCCCCCCCCAAAACCACCAAGGCTCCTGACCCCATGACCCCACTCTCTCCCCCTGCAGCTCCTCATCAGGTAATTCTCCTGGTTCCGCTTTGACCACGGGCGGAGGACACAGGGGGAGGTGACTCCGGACCACTGCAGGTTGGTCGTGAAGCCCACTCCCTCTGACTCTCCAGAGCCCCTCCCCAGCTCACGGCTGCCCCCTACACCTGAGGACCTCCCCAGATGCTACCCTCCGGACACCTGCACAGACCCATCTACCCAGGCACTGCCCCAGAGCACTTCCCTGCCGCCTCCCAGAACCATTCAGGGACACCTGCTCCCTACCAAGCACTTTACCCTAGACACCTGCACATCCCTAGATCACAGCGCCCTCCCCACACAACCTCCCCGCACCTTCCCCAACCCTGCCTCCTCCTCTAACCTCTCCAGTGTATGTCTGTCACCCCCCATTTCACCAAAGCGTCCTTGGGGGTTGGGACGTTGGGGTAGGGTTTGTTAAGGAGGGGTGGTGACACTGGGTAGGGGGGCGCTGGCTAAAGGGGCTGTGCTGGCTGCAGCAGGTAGGCTGGGGTTTCCTCTTCCTTCTCCCTTCTCCTGGTTCTGTGGAGAGCCCTCCTTCCTTCCACCCCTGACCTGTTTCTCTTCCTCCTTCCCTACACCTGTGAGGTGGACAGCATCTGAGGCTCCTATTTGACCCTGCTGGGTGGGAGTTAAGAGTGTGTAGTTAATGCAGGGAGACTTTGGGGGTCTTGGAAAGGGTGCCATTCAGATGTCAAGACAGTAAGGGTGAGTGGAGCAAGGAGAAGGATCGAGAAAGGAGACCCTGATGGATGTTAGGACGTGGACCGGCCCACGTGGTGTGGGAGTTGGCAGTGGCAGGAGATGTCTTCCTAGATAAGATCATGGGCTGGTAGCCATGTTGATTTCAGGCAGAGGTGCTAGGTTGGGGGCTGCTAATGCCATTCACTCCCTGTCTCCTGCTACCCAGTGGCCTTGCCGGACACAGAATCCTACCTGAAAAGCCAGTAAATGGGAACCTGTCAACCAGTGACATCACTTCTGAGAGGCTTTATTTTCTGCAGGATGGATCTGCAGTGGGCAGTGGCTCCTCACACTGTAATTTTAACTCTCTGCCTGCCCAGCCTCTCTGTCAAAGTAGTTAGTGAGCTGAAAACAGATGCTGCCAGGCACCAGGGGACCTCACCATTTAAAGGACTCCTGTGGTGAACTCTTTTGTAAAATGAATAATGGCACCCTAATTTTCTCCTTTCTAAATCTGGGTCCCTGGGGGTGTTGGGGGCATGCCTGTGTGCCGCTGCCAGCAGACAAGCAGAGGGAAGGGAGTCTGAGGTCTCCTTCCCCTGCTCTCCCGCCACACTCAGGATGCCCTGCTGCACGTGACTTCCTCTTGTTGACTCCTGGAAAGTGTGGGAGATACTCAGTAGCTAAGAGGGCAGCTTTGCTTAAATCTTGGGTTTGGGTGACCTTTTGAGAGGTGAGGAGAACTGATTCGGGAGCCTCTGCCTGGAATGTTATGTCTTTAGCGATTCGGTCAGACACAGCTTGGTTGCTAGGCTTCAATGCCCCATATCTCAGGAAATAATTTGGACAGTTTTTCTAAATCCCTTTCAGATATTGGTCCCTCTGAAACTCAACCATTAATGTAAAAATTAACTTTATGTCTGTATTTTTAAAAGCCAAATGAGCGACCTGAAGCATAGAATACATGGTGTTCTTCTCCGCTCCCAGCAGAAGAACAGAGCCAGAGCTGAGGGGAGGAGACAGGAGTTGGTCCAGGAAGGGTAGGAAGGGGTAGAATAGGACCAGGGGTGGGAGTCCCCCTCACCCTCTAACTCAAAGCCCAGGGTGAGGGAACGAAAGGAACGTGGGGGTGGAGAAGAACGAAGTCCTTCTGCTTCCTGGGGACGCAGAGCTTGGGGCATGCTGTGTCTCTGCAGGAGCTCCTGGTCCTTCCTTTCTGACATCAGCATGAGAGGCAGCCCTCCCACAGTATTTTTTCCTTCCCACATCACTTCCCTGAATCCTGTTCCTTTCCCCCAGTACAGTTAAACCTCTCTAATGTAGAGTGTTGTATTTGAGATGGCCACTCTGAATAAGTGACAAAACTGACAGTATCTGTTTAATGAAACGCATATCTTCAGAATATATACAGTAAGTAGAACTCCACAAATGAGGCTTTTCCACTCGAGGCCCTCAGGGAGCATGTGTTAATGAGTGGATAGGATTGAAAAGCCTGTTTTCTGGTATAGGTTAAATATTCCCTCCCACAGACATGTTTCTACTATTAATTTGCTTAGCACATTCTTTCTTCACAGATAAAGGAAAACTCAAGCCCAGTTTTTGTTCAAATTATGAAAAAATTCCAATCCATGGGGGGTTGGATTAATGAGGTTTTGCTGTACTGCCTTTCCTTGTTCCCTCTGCACTAAGTTCCCACCTCAAGTTGGTGGTGGCCTGGGAGGGGGCCCTGGGCAGTGGAAGATGCCAGGGTTAGCTTGAGGGTGAGATAGGAAACTGACCTCTTTTGAAATGGGTTCCTGGTGTGACTCCTGGGGTTGAAGGCCCCAGTTAGGAGTTGGGGTAAGAGTCTCTTCTCCCTGATTGCAGAAGATGTACCTTCTCCTGCAGGTGAGAACAAACGAGGATGATGTGGGTGGGAGGGGTGTCCTGGGGGAAGGGGGTGGGATAGTTGGTGGAGTGGGCCAGCTCTCGGGGAGGCCACTGCTTGGGGGCTGGCAGCCAGGCCCCCGCGAAGCGTCTCAATAAGTCCGCGCTCTCCTCTTTGGTATCTTGCAGGAGAGGCAGCTTCCCCCCTTGGGTCCAACAAACCCGCGTGTGACTCTGGCCCCACCTTGGAACGGCCTGGCCCCCCCAGCCCCACCTCCCCCACCCCGGCTGCAGATCACTGAGAACGGCGAGTTCCGAAACACCGCAGACCACTAGCCCACCCAGCATCTCAGACCTCCTCCTCCCTCCCTGTGCACCCCACCCTGGAACGGCACTGACCACCAGGACTGGACGTCGCCGAGGGACAGCGGGATCGCCTCCCTGAATGCCTCCTTGCGGGGCACCAGTCCCCCACCCCCACTGCACCATTTCTGGGAGGGAGAGTGGGGACCCTCAGCTGCCCCCTTTTCCTTCCTTCTGGGGTGCTGTCCCCTGTGACCCCCAGGACCCTTGCCCCAGGACACAGACCCCTTCACTCCGGGGTGCTATCCCCATCCTCTGCCTCATCGTTCCCCTGAGCACTGGGGGACAGACCCTCACCCCCACCCTGGGGGTGCGGCACCTCCAAACTTTCAACTTCAGGGTGATTTTTTAGCAGTAACCAGAGCTGACAATCTAACTCCCCTCCACCGCCCCATTTTGGCCTCCCCTGTCCCCCTTGTTATGGGGAGGGGACCCCGGGTGAGGGGGTCCTATTACCCCTTGATTTCTCAGGAGCGTCTGGGGGGGCTCAGCACGCACAAACTCCTTCTCCTCCTACCACTCTCAAATACTCTCCCTCCCCACCCAGAACCCAGATGGGGTGGAGGGGCCACCGGGGCAGGGAGGGGGCGGCAAGGGGGAATGGGAGTTGTCTCCCTTTCTTCCATACCTGATCTGCTCTTGGCTGGTCCCAGAGCGGGGTGAGGGGGCTCAGGCCCCCCCCTCCCCCAGTGTGTTGGGTGGGGCGGAACTGAGGTTCAGGGGAGGGGTTAGGGTTTAGGAGGGGGGTGTATGTTGGGGAGGACAGACTAGCTGATCTGCCCTACCCTGACACACACAGCCCCCCTGCCCCCCACTTCTTGGTCTCTACTCCCAGGGGGAGGGGGGAACTTACTCTAGGAAAAGCCATGTCTCTCTCCCCCAGGGCAGGGGGACCTGTGTTGGAGGAGGGGTGTTGGGGGCCCCCTTCCATGACTCTGTCCCCTGGGGGAGGTAGGACAGGGCTGGGCTTCCCTCTCATCCTCCCCGCCACCCCCCCGCCCCAATCTCCCTCCACATCTCTCCCTCCCGCCAGCTCCACAATTTTTCGGTGTTTCTCTGTACATAGCTCTCTGGCGGGATAGGGGAGGTAGGATGGATGGGGTTTGGGGTGGGTCCGTCATAGGGGGAGAGAAGGCCCTCCTTGGCACCCCCTCATCCCTGACTGCTGTCCTCTACCCAGCCTTGCCCCCTCATCCCTTCTTGCGTTTGGTATTGAGACTTCTCGGACTCCACCCTTCTTTCTTTTGTATGGACAGTTCCCCTTCAGTCCCATACCCTACACACAGACACCCAGCCGGGGCCAAATTTATACTTATATAAAAGTTGTAAATATGTGAAATTTTATCCCTGTGCCCTTCCTTGCTTTCCCAACCTCAGACCCTCCCCCTGGACTCCCTTTCCTCTTCTCTTCTTTGGCTGTTGTAATTATCTGGGATTTGTACTGTACATATCTGGGGTGTGTGTGTGTGGGCTGGGGGCAACCCCTCTGTACAGCGCTTCCTGGCCCCCTCCCCCCCACAATTCCGCCCCCCACCCCATAGGGTAGGGAGATGTCTCTCTCCCCCACCACTGCCCTTTTTCTTCCACTCCCAGCCCCATTTCCTTTTTTTCTGGAGTGTGTGGTGAAACAGAAAAATCATGTTTAATAAACGGAGATTGTTCTTTTATCGCGGTGCTGACTTTCCTAGTCTCGGACCTCCAGGAGGATTAGCATGGTGACAGGAACTGCTTTTTGAGAGGAAGCTGACAGCTTGAGAGAAATTCTGTATCCTTGTGTGATGCCATAGTCTTGGCCCTAGAATATCGATCTCCCGACCAGCGAAACTGTTTTAGAGTAGGAGTCTTGCACAGGCCAAATTTCCCCCATGTGTCTCACCACTGCGCCACTTAACCCCAAGAGTAGAGAGGTTAAGGAACAACAGCATTATCTGATAAAAAGTTACAAGTGTACATCTACATGTCCCTTAAAAATAATTACCTAGAAAAGAAGATTATTTGACTGTTGGTTAAAGTGCTCCGGTGCGGAACGGAGGAAAGAACTGGGTGCCTCAGCCTTGGGGAGTCGGCCCCTGGGCCAGCATTTGCCGCCTCGGCTTCCCCTGAGGAAAGGATGGGAACTCCTACCTCGCTGGTGGCAGGTCGGGGGAGGGAGCGTGGGATAGAAGGTGATGCGAACAATACCTAGCCCATACGCTAGATGCCCTCTTAATCTCCACCTGTCGGGGGCAGGCTCTACATTTAATCACTGGCATGGCTCACTAGTCGCGCCCTCATTACTGGGTGCACCTTCTCATTCCTTCTGCGGCCCGGGCCGGGTCTGCTGCCTCCCGCCAGCACCGCCCTCTCCCCGGCGCGACCAATCGGCGTGAGGCTTGTAGGCCGGCGCCCTCCGATTGGCTGCCTCCCTGGCCCCGCCCAACTCCTAGAGGTCCGCTTCCGGCGGGGAGGAGGCGGCTTCCGGCCGAGGCGGCGCGGTTGCTGCAGAGGCGCTTTGGACGCCGGACCGCGTGTGTACCCGTGGGGGCGTGGCGGCAGGAAGGGCCAAGTGGCTGGCGCTCACGGTCCCCAGGTGCCTGCCAGGGAGTTGGACTCTGCGGGCACGTGAGTTGGGGAGCGATCGGCGGGGTCCGGCTCGCGGCTGAAGGACCTCCTCCTCGCCACAGGCCCTGCAAGTTCAAGCCCCGGTTGGTGTTTTGTTGTGGTTTGTTTTCGTTTTCTCGGCGGGGTGTGTTTGGGACTGTTCTGCCCGAACCACCGGCGACCGAAAAGTTCCCACACGTTGGGGTGCAGCGGAGGCGGACGTTGTTTGGGGAGATACGATTGCCCTCATCCCGAGCGTCTGTGACCCCCTCTTTCTTCCGCAGCCCTCGTCGCGCAGGGGCTCTCCCCCGCCCCCTCACCTCCTGTACCCGACCTTCTGGGGTCTCTTTCTTCCCCAGGAGGCCATGGATACCTCGACGCCTTTGCCTCCCGTAGCCCCCTCCCCAGCCTGCAACCCAGCCCCACGGACGATCCAGATCGAGTTTCCTCAGCACAGCTCGTTGCTGCTGGAGGCCCTGAACCGCCACAGGCTGGAGGGAAAGTTCTGTGATGTCTCTCTCCTGGTGCAGGGCCGCGAACTGAGGGCCCACAAAGCAGTGTTGGCCGCCGCTTCTCCTTACTTCCACGACAAACTACTTCTGGGGGATGCACCGCGTCTCACCCTTCCCAGCGTTATCGAAGCCGATGCCTTCGAGGGGCTGCTGCAGCTCATTTATTCGGGGCACCTCCGTCTGCCCCTGGATGCTCTCCCTGCGCACCTCCTTGTGGCCAGTGGCCTGCAGATGTGGCAAGTGGTAGATCAGTGCTCAGAGATCCTTAGAGAACTGGAAAACGCAGGTGGTGGGATTTCATCCCGAGGAGCTACCCCTTTCCACACACTTCTTTCCACCACAGGAGGCTGGTGCATCCGCTCTTCCCCTTGCCAGACCCCGGCACAGTCTTCTGCTTCTACCCAGAGCCCGATTGGAGGGGAGGGGAGTGAACTGGGAGATATGTTACAGCTTCAGGTTGAAGAGGAAGAGGAGGAAGAAGATGAGGAGGACCAAGGGTCAACAGCACCCTCTCAGACTCCTCAGTCTCAGAAAGGGTCAGGGAGTTTTCCTTGCCCTCCTGCATCCCACCCCCTGCCCACATCCACTACTCCTTGCAGGCTTCCAGAGGGTGAGAATGCCCCACCTGAGCCTCCTGCTCCTCATACTGCATTGTCCCCCAAAATCTTCTACATCAAGCAGGAACCCTTTGAGTCCAAGGAGGAGGTAGCAGGAGGCGCAAGTCAGTCTGTAGGAGCAAAGGAGGAGACCAAAGTGTTTCCAGGAGGGAACACTGAAGAGAATGGAGAACTAGGGTTCCTACTGCCCTCAGGAGCAGGGACAGCATCTGGAGGAGGTGGTCCATCCTGGAAACCAGTGGATCTTCATGGGAATGAAATCCTGTCAGGGGGTGGGGGACCTGGGGGAGCAGGGCAGGCTGTGCATGGGCCTGTGAAGCTAGGTGGCGCACCTCCTGCAGATGGAAAACGCTTTGGTTGTTTGTGTGGGAAACGCTTTGCAGTGAAGCCAAAGCGTGACCGGCACATCATGCTGACCTTCAGCCTTCGACCCTTTGGCTGTGGCATCTGCAACAAGCGTTTCAAGCTGAAGCACCATCTGACAGAGCATATGAAGACGCATGCTGGAGCCCTCCATGCCTGTCCTCACTGTGGTCGCCGGTTCAGAGTCCATGCTTGTTTCCTTCGCCACCGGGACCTCTGCAAGGGTCAGGGCTGGGCCACTGCTCACTGGACTTACAAGTGATTGCTGAGGCCATATGCTAACTTTCAGGAGAAGGGAGCCACGGCTGCTGATGGATACTTATTACTCCTCACTACCACAGTACCCTAACCTTGTATCTTGTTGGTGTTGGTGGTTTTTTCTTGGCCATACTTTGTAGCATGCCACTAGGGATTGAACCTGCACCCCTGCAGTGGACAGTGCAGAGTCCTAACCACTGGACCAGCAGCAACATCCCTGTATCTTGCTAATTATTCCAGAAGGATAGATATATTATGAATCTCTTCTTGGGTGTGGGCCTCAACCTGACAGATTTGAAAACTTGATTTCTCATCTCCAGGTTTTTGCTAACTATCCTACAGGAAACTGGTTTACAGGCCGTAAATATACTGATCAGTTGTCTGTAATAGATTTTTTCATACAGGAAACTGGATTAAATTTCAGATTACAAGTTTTATTTGATGAGAGAGGAGTTAGAGCAAGAAAAATTATGATAAATGTTTAATTCAGTCTCTATGAGAAGTTAAGGGAGCTGGTCTCCATCTAGAGATGTGTTTGATTCAGAGTTCTAGTAATCCAGAGACTAAGCTCTAAGCTTTACTTTTCCCTCATCGTTGCTGAAATTTTACGAGTAAAGGTCTTCTATACTTTTCCTTTGTTATGATTTTCTGGAAACCCTTCAGTCTGTAAGTTACTTTCTCACCCATAGGTACTTTTTCAACCCCTTTATTTTGTATGTTGTAGTTGAGCACTTTAACAAATTGAGGATTCCGTGAGTCACTTAGAACCCTCTTTAATAGAGGTATTCCCTCCACAGTCTGTGCCTCTTGTCTACCTTTGACCACCACTGATCACTCATATTGATCACAGGGACTGAAATGTGATCAGTGAACTCAGGAGATGGCCACTGACCTAAAATGCTCTCAGGGTAGTGCCACTGCTCTGAACAGGTGGCCGAGGTTAGAGGGACTCAGGGCTGAGGTGGCACATGGTGAAAACTAGAGAAATAACTGCACAGTGGGACCATACCTCCTCCCTTTCCATCCTCACCCACATTACAGCCCCTTGGTCCACACATAGAAGGGTAGATGTTGGAATGGGGAGATTGTCGTAGTTTTCTTTATTTCTTCCAATAAACTTTGCCATGAAATCTAAGCTAACTGTGAACTTAATTGAGTCATTTATATGGGAGAGACCATGTGAAAAGAGTTGCAAAGACCTGGATGTATTCCTTATGCAGCTGGGTTATATCAGTGGGGGAAGAATCAGATAGTTTCATGCTGATGCAGAGAACACAGTCCTGGACATTGGTGGACCAGATTCTCAGTCCTCACCTGCCTCTGAATAACTTCTGATAAGTTACCTTATTTTTCAGAGTTTTAATTTTTTTTTTTTNTGCCTCTGAATAACTTCTGATAAGTTACCTTATTTTTCAGAGTTTTAATTTTTTTTTTTTCTTTTGAGGGATGGGGTGTTATGTACCTTCTGACTGGTTCTTTGTTTTCTCTTTTTTTTAGGGGTTGTTCACATGATTCTATAATGTTGCCTCCTGACTTCATGTATTATGTGTATTGTTTGGTTTGTTCAACACTTATTACAAAGCACTGTACTCAACCCTGACTTACACTCTTAACCCTGAAGAGTTTGTAGCTACTACCAAAGCTAGATATAATGACAATGTGGTATAGTAAGTCCATGATGGGGGACAGTACAAGCTACTGTAGTGGCACAAAGGAAGCTGAGAAAAGACCTATTATAGGTCACCAGAGGTTTCACAAAGAGCTCCTCCGTTGCCAGAGTGTGGCAGTGGGGATAGGTGACTGAATTGATGTGGAAATGGTGAGCATGAGAACTGTAGAGTCAAGACTGACAGCCTTTGCCAAAGCAGGTACCTCAGAAGTTATTAGGTATGGAGTCTAAAGGGGCTAAAACTATGACTGTGGCTGAGAAGGTGAGTTCTAGCTGGGATCTGTCAGTCTTTCTAAAGAACCATACCCACTGGGTACAGGGTCAGGGATGGAGGCTGCCACCCTT